AAACGGCAAGGGAAAGAGGTGTGGGGTAGAGCTCAGGAGATTAGTGTCAGATGAGTTGATGGGTCCAGGTGCTGCTGCTCTGCCTAATTGTGGATATGCTTGTGCACATAGTAGGGTGCTGGCCCTCAGAAGAGAGAAGAAAGCCAAGGAGGAGGAACTCTGCCTGCGTTGGGGAGATAAAAGACGCTGACTGGAGAGCGCGTGCTGCAGGAGCCGGGCCGCTGCAGACACACGGCCGCTTTATGTTGTTTCTTTGTTTTGTTCTTGGTTTTGCGCCTTACGGCAAATAAAAGACAGTGGACCAACGGCAATTCGTGTGTCTGTGCTGGGAGAACTCACAGAGGTAGCAAGATGGCTACAGGGGTCCAGCGATGCAGGAAGGCTGGATGTGATGTGTGGTTTGACAAGTCGTTTAAAACACTTCATCACAGTGGATGTCAGTGCGATGGGGCGACAGTCATTCACACAGGCTACAACTGACTTCTTTGCCACTGGAACTATGGTGGATGTCATGAAGCATCTGGGAACAATGGCTTTACTGAGGGTGAGGTTGAAAATGTCAGTCAGCACATCTGCCAGCTCGTCAGCGCAGACTCTGAGCACATGTCCTGGGATGTTGTCCAGTCCTATCGCTTTTCATGGGTTGGCCCTGGCAAGGGTCCTCCATGTGTCTGCTGCGCTGATGGTGAAAGCTGGCCTGACATATGAAGGAGAAGGACCAGCCCTCTCTCTGATTGTCAGGTTAGATGCTTCAAAGCGTGCAAAGTAGTTGTTGAGCCTGTCTGGAGGAGAAGCGTCATCGTTGTCAACCTCCTGCCTACTCTTGTAGTCCGTTAGTGCCTGGACACCTTGCCACATCCGTCTGGTGTTTCTTGTGTCACAGAGGTGTTTCTGGATTTTCTTTGCATAGGTGCATTTTGCGGCCTTGATCGCTTTTGAGAGCTCAGCTCTGGCTGAGTGAAGAGCAGTCCTGTCTCCCATTCTGAAGGCTGCATCAGGGGCCGTTAGCAGTAAGCACACCTCTGTAGTCATCCAGTGTTTTTGATTTGCCCACCCTCTCGAAGACATCCTGCATCGTTCTGGTGCCGAAAAAGACCCGGCCCAGCAAGCTGAATGACTACTGACTGGTGTCACTCACTACACACCTGATGAAGACGCTTGAGCGGTTCCTCCTCCGCCTCCTCAGGCCCCAGGTTCAACACGCCCAGGACCTTCTACAATTTGCCTACTGGGCAAATGTTGGGGTGGAGGAGGCTGGACTGTACCTCCTCCATCAAGCCCACTCACACCTGGACAAGGGAAGCAGCACTGTGAGGATTCTTTTTATGGACTTCTAGAGTGCCTTTAACACCATCCAGCCCCTGCTACAGCGGGGAAAGTTAGAAAGGATGGGAGTGGACTCGTGCCTGGTGGACTGGATCTCCGACCACCTCACTGACAGACCACAGTATGTCAGACTGAAGGACACCACATCTGACACTGTGGTCAGCAGTACAGGGGCCCCTCAGGGGACAGTGCTGGCCCCTCTCCTCTTCACCCTGTACACCTCGGACTTCTGTTACAACTCGGAGCTGTGCCACATACAGAAGTACGCAGATGACACAGCCATCATGGGGTGTATCAAGGATGACAGAGAGAGTGAGTGCAGGAGTCCGGTGGACGACTTTGTTGTCTGGTGCAGAGAAAACCACCTGCAGCTCAATGCCTCAAAGACAAAGGAACTGGTCATAGACTTCAGGAAATCTGTACCATGCCCACGACACGATCTGATTGAGGCACATGAGGTTGAACTTGTACAAAACTACAAGTACCTTGGCCTGTGGCTGGACAACAACGTGGGGCGTTCAGGAAACATAAGTAAATTGTAGAGTCTATCAATAAGAAAATGTTCAGCAAGTCTTATGTTTTGCCTGTAACAAGGTGAGAAGTGAGAACAACTGAGAAAGTTGATTGTACCAGTGAAAAGTTAGTCTGGAGCCCTGTGGGGACTTCTGTATGGCGCGAACATTGTTCGGTAAATGGTTACGTATGCAGTGACGTATGCTGTGGCTCTAACTTGACTCCTTGCCAATGGAAAAGCAACCGGTTCTTCGGAGGTCCGAGATTTGAACCAACTTAACACTGGCCCTAGCACCAGCACGAATCCAGCACCTGATATCTGGGTGCTGGATTCGTGTCCGTGGATTCCGGGTATCTGACGAGCCCTTGCCCATGCCTGGCTACAGGAGGAGGCCCCAGTTTCCCTGACCCAGGCGAGGTGGCAACTTCATCAAGGTTTATTGAATTGCTCTTTGTCTGGTCCCTCCGCCAGGACAAATCTGTCTTGCGAGACCTTACCAATGGTTATTACCGCAGACAACACAGCTCCCAGGATCACAGGGACACTTAAACCCCTCCAACTCGAGAAGGTGGTGGTTCATCGGGGGGTTAGTAACTAGATACACAATAGAAATATAAGAGGACTATAGGACCAGGCCAGTTGAGGTAGATGGCCACCCTCCCTGAGTCTGGTTCTGTTGCAGGTTTTTTTGTCCTTCCTGGTAAAGGGGAGGTTTCTGATTCTTTCCACTGTTGCGAATATAGTGTGTTCCCCAAAATACTGAGTGTATTGGGCCATAGCGGCATCAAAGTAAAAACAGACAGTAAATACATTAGTAATATATTGAAAAAAATGTAAATATACAGGGGATATACTTAGTTGCTAAGTGGCAATATATACTACTGCCAGTGACGTAAGCTGAGGTTCATGGCTGGTGAGGCACTGACTTCATCAGGATCAGATTTACAAATATATGCACTCTACAGAGAAGCTTCTTTGCCATTTGATTGGCAGCAGTTTTTGAGTTATGTTTCATATCTGCATTCTACAAACTGTAGCCCACAAAACGTACACTTCATTAAAAAAAAAACAACTGATTGCGGTCTTACCTTTACTTATAAATAAAGTCCATGCGTCGCTCCTTCTGCACAAAAATATCTGTTTCTTTCTGGTAAAAGTCCTCCTTGTCTTCCTTCACTTGGCGAGAGGGAAAAAAAATAAATCCATCGCTACACTTGACTTGCTAACTGTATACCTAGTCTAGCTTGCTGTCACTTACTCTGCAGCCGCGAAGTCGCAAGAAAAATGTCTGGGATCACGAGCACTCCCTGCCATGAGGCAAGAGAACTGCCTTTATCACTTTGAACCTCTTCTCAGCCATTTATGATTGCTCAGCACACGAAACACGTTACACACAAACAGTTGGTAACAATAAAACACTGTACAAACACTATGGAAAATCAGTTCATATATTAAATGTGTTTGAAATATTTTATTGGCGACATACAGACAGCACTATGCTGTCACTGCATGGCAGCCAGCAGTTAGCGAGGGATTGTGCAGTCTAAGGTGAGGCTCAGCCTGCTGATGCCTCACCAGCTTCTTTTCCAAGCATTTAAATGGGAAATTGCGAAAATTCTGCGATTTTGAATTTATATATATTGGGCTTTTGCCTTTATTTAGAGCAGAGAGATCGACAGGAAAGGGGGAAGAAGAATGGGGAGAGACCTGCAGCAAAGGGTTGTGAGCGGGAGTTGAATCCACGACCGCTGCGTCGGGAAACTATAACCCCTGTTTATGGGTCGCCCAGTCAACTAGTTGAGCTATAGGGGCTAAATGAAAATACAAATGCTTTATAGTACAAATCACTGGATAAATATCATCATTTAAATAATTTTATCAATACATGTTTTTTTTTTCTTTCCATGATGGCAGGTAAGGCTTTGTTCATCTTTAAACTGCTTTAAATCGCTTTTTAAAAATATAGTTTAATTTGGCATAAACATACGTGACATTGTTATTGACTGAAGACATGGCACTCAACCGTGATGTGCATTCATTCTGCTGAGGAAATTATATTTTCCTTTGAAGGTCTTAAAAAGCTTTAATCTGGCTTCTGAAAGAGTGCAGAACCTAACATAAAAAATGCACCATACGACTGAGTGGTAGGAGAAACTAATACTAATTATGATAATAATTCTCTTGGTCACTGCTTTTGAATGCACTATCACAGTGGTACATATTTTCATGTTAAGTTACGGTAAAATGCTGACAACCATAAATGACAGTATTTTACTGTATTTTTACGATGTAACTATTCTAACTCACCCAAACACATTATTGTATCATATTGTAACTAGGCTTTTAAATGATATTCTCTACTTATATAATGTTGCAACCTTGACTATCACTGTAGTTATCTGTAAATTACAACATTTTAATCTTTTAAAATGTAAAAATGTGAATTGCAGACATATACCATAAATAGCTATGCTATTTATAAACATCTTTATGATCCAGAAGTGAGATCTACCGCTGTTTAACATTTAAAAAGTCATACCAACAAAAAAATCTGAAACAATAAAAGATGAGGGTTAAGGCAGATTATATATTTATGGATGTAAAACATTTATACAAAGGCAGCAATCTATGACAAAGTGTAACTGTCAAATATACTTTAGACACAAAGGAAAATTGTCTGATAATAACATGGGGCATTGATGTAAAGTTATCAATTATATTCTGCCTAAATCACATCTAGTCAGTCTAAATAGTGCTTTGTGTTTGTGTTGTGCGAAAACTTTTTGTTCAGCTTGCAGCATCAGCTTTGTTCCTGGCCACCTGTGTGGCTCGGGCTCAGGTGATGCTGGCCCAGGCTCTACCTGCTCCTGCTCCACTCACCTTTGTGCTGCTCACAGCCACAATCTTAGCCAAGAAAAAACATCAGCAATGATTTTACTCATAAAACAACAAATATTCTTCTTTATCAGAAGCCTGTTTCTAGTGTTTCATTGTTGTGACTATTGTTCACTTTGAGTGATGATGTGAAGAATAAAGGAGAAGAAACTACAGTCAGGTGAGCTAGAGGAGGGCAGCATCTTCATCCCACCATCCTCCTCCTCCTCAGAGAGAGAGAGAGAGAGAGAGAGAGAGAGAGTGTGTGTGTGTGTGTGTGTGTGTGTGTGTGTGTGTCGTTTCTCCTTCACTCTGCTGGCGGACTGTCTTCATCCGGACTCTGACTCAAGGTAAAAACGAAACACTTTTATTTCCGTGAAAAGCGCTTTTATCGCGTTGATGCTCAGCTTCGCTAGAAAGTCGGTTCAGTGTTTCAGTGAAAGTAAAATGTAAAAGTGAAGAAACGGAGCGTCGACAATTCGCCGCTGAGTTGAATCGAGGAGCTGATGTCGGTGCAGCTCTGCTTATTCCTCAGTATGAACCTCAGATCGGACACAAACAGCCGTTTTCCACCACAGGAGACAGAAAACACGCACACGGTGGAACACGGCTAAAGACACAGCAGTGGGGCTTTTGTCACAGCCGGTTCCTCCAGTGGAACCTTCAAGTCCTTTAACACCGTGTGGTCTCAGTGGACTGAGCCGAACCGGTGCGGCTTTTCTTGTTTTCGTTTAAGGAACGTTTTAGGAGCCCGTCCTCCACAAAGTTACTAAAAGTAGCAGATACAATCATGTTTTTTGTATGTCTGTCCAGATAATGGAAAAGTACAGCTGTATTTGCTTAGTGTGCTGACTGTAGACAGCAGGTTCGTGCCACAACAAGAACAATGCTACAAGAGCTGCAGTGTAGTTCATCCTCAAATGTGGGTCCTCTACAATTGTGCATTTAGGTCTTAACTGAATCAAAAATATGTTAGAGTTAGCTGGGTTCTCATGAAGCTACATAATAGCAAATCTAACATATGCTTTTGATGTAATCGTTACACACTATATGTGTTGCATTTGTTACATTTGTGTATTTAGTCATTTTAGCTCTTCCATACAGGACTGCTAACATCTCAGACTACAGCTTTAAAAGTTGCTTCAGATGACATTCTTCACCTCAAGCAAAGTGAAACAGTAAAGCAGAGGCATAAAAAATTAGATTGCAGGGTGTGACTGGGAGACAGCTTTATAGGTTAAAGCATGTTACAGGTTCAGTCATTTTAAAGGCTGGTCGTCCACTAACAAGGTGATTATGATCCTCTTTACAGTTCTTTAGGAACCTGCAGCAGGTTTCTGACTCTTAAGCTAAAACTTTGAGGTCTTATTAACTCCTGAATGTATTTAAGGTGTGTTTCAAATGTTTTTTCTAAAATGACATTTCTGAACTAAAAATGACCCAACTTTGATAAAAACTAATGGTGTGATTTGAGGTTTAAAAGTATACAGTCCACAGATTTAAGGAAGCCTGACTTTAGAGAAACACCTTCAAGGTATTTAAAGGTTGTTTTTCAGGATGTTTGTCTTCTAACCAGCTGATTAGAAACAGATCGGGTTTGTGAGTCTTCAGCAAGTAAAGCTTTAAGTGGATTTTTAGAGGTTTAATAACTCATGACTGTATCTAGGGGATGTTTCAACAGCTACAGTTCAAGTTAACTAAATGAATTTACAGCTTAGGTGACAGATTTAAAGTTGACAATGAGAGACCAGTGCAGTTTTATTTCATCAGTTTGAAGAATGTGACTCTTCCCAACTGAAGTTTTAAATGTTGCTTCTGTTTGTCTTCAGTCCCTCACAGTGATGATTGGAAGTTTTATTTTATGTCCTGAGTGAGTTTAAAGAACACTTTTGTTGTATGAACTCTGAATGTATATGACAGAGTATTTTGAAGTTTGTTTTTAAAGACGTGTGTCCACTAACAAGCTGGTCTCAGAGCAGTTATTAAAGATTCTTCTGCATCCCCCTGCAGGAACATGTCCTCCTCCAGCAGCAGGACTCCTTCTGCTCTTCTTCAGGGTTACTGCCTGACATGAAGCACTGAAATCTGAGGACGGAGTGCCCCCTGCCAGACTCCCTCTGCAGCTGCAGGCCATGGCTGAGCCCAGCTACTCTGACCTGATCGCCAAGCACTACAACTACACTGGCAAGTTTCGCAAGACGCAGCAGGACTCAGGTCTGAAAGCGGACTCAGTGGTTTTCATCATCGTGTGCTGCTTCATCATCCTGGAGAACATCCTGGTCCTGACCACCATCTGGAGAACCAAGAAGTTCCACAAACCCATGTATTACTTTATTGGGAACCTGGCGCTGTCTGACCTGCTGGCCGGTGTCGTCTACACTGCCAACATCCTGCTGTCGGGCGCCAACACCTACAAGCTGACACCCACACAGTGGTTCTTCAGGGAAGGTAGCATGTTTGTGGCGCTGGCGGCATCTGTCTTCAGTCTGCTGGCCATTGCTATTGAGCGCCACCTCACCATGCTGAAAATGAAGCTGCACAACAATGGCAACACCTGCCGCGTCTTCCTGCTCATCAGCACCGTGTGGATGATCGCGGCAGTGCTGGGCGGACTGCCGGTGATGGGCTGGAACTGCATCCAGAGCATGACGCACTGCTCCACAGTGCTGCCGCTCTACCACAAGACCTACATCCTGTTCTGCACCACTGTCTTCAGCATCATTCTTATGGCCATTGTGGTGCTCTATGCTCGGATCTACGCTCTGGTGCGTACTCGAAGCCGCAAACTTGTCTTTCGCAAAGTGTCCAACGGTCGTGGCAATGCTGGTGCCAATAGCAAGAGCTCAGAGAAGTCAATGGCGCTGCTGAAGACTGTCATCATTGTCCTGAGCTGCTTCATTGCCTGCTGGGCACCACTCTTCATTCTCCTGCTTCTAGACGTGGCATGTGAGACGCTGAGCTGCCCCATCCTCTACAAGGCCGAGTGGTTTCTGGCACTTGCGGTCCTCAACTCTGCAATGAACCCGCTTATCTACACGCTGACCAGTAACGAGATGCGGCGCGCATTCCTCAAGACGTTGCTTTGCTGCACTGCCTGTATCCGGCCAAAGGTCAAGTTTACAGGGCCGATCATGGGGGCAGAATTCAGCCGCAGCAAATCGGATAACTCCTCCCACCCCAACAAGGAGGAGACGGAGTACTCACCACGGGAGACAACGGTAGTGTCCTCAGGGAACATCACATCGTCATCGTAAACATTCAAATGTCTGGCCATAAATGAGCGGAGGAGAGGGTGATGTACAGAGTCAGATGGAGAGTTTGTGTTTGTACAGGAAACACGTGAACAGTGCCATGTAGTGTTGTCACGAACCCTCTGCGGCTCAGAACTCACAGCACTTATGGAGACTTTTAAGCTGGTGAAACTGGGATCAGTGAACCTTGAGATAGAGGAGGTCCGACTCTATATGTAGCTCACAACCTTCAGTCAGAACCATCACGTCACCCGCAGGAGGATCGGCTGCTTTAACTGCTGGATCTATGGATGGTTTCTGCTCCCACATAAGCTCAGGTTTAACTCAGCTCGTCTGCTTAAAAATGACCATCAAGGTCCTGCTTCATTCAGGACCTGGCAAGACCAGAAAGCGGTTTGCAGATTTCATCCAAACATCCTCATGATACAGAACTCAGCCTTGAAAAATACACTTTATCAGACACTTAAAGCATCCTGAAGGTTTATAGACACTGTAGTAGTGAATTATTGATGTGTCTTATTTCATCGTGAAGGTTGATATTACTGAATGGCAGTTATGAGCGTCATAGAAAGTGTTGTTGATCCTCATAGAAGAGTCTGACTAGATACTCACCCTCTAAGAACCACTAGAACCTGTAGCGCTTAGACACACAGCTGTCAAATATTTAAGAAATACAAATAAAGTAATGGAGATTCCTTTCCTCTTCCCTTTCCTGAAAACCTTCACATAAGGAAATCCCCATGTGAATTTAGAGCTCAGCTGCTTTTCACACACACAAACACACACACACACACACACACACACACACATACACACACACATACACACACACAAATGAAATCATAAACATCGGACTAAAAACTCAATTTTTCAAATAAGAAGGTTTAAATGTTTAGCCTACTCCCTATACTAATAACTTATACATGATTTCATTTCATTCTAAATCCTGTATGATTTCATTCTCATATAGAAGTTAATTTTGAACAGTAGAGCAAATTTATACCAGATGTTTGACATTGTTTGAAAAGTAATTTAGATGAATAAATGCTTATCAAAACAGTATATGAACAATTTTCTACTGTTCCTCTAATAGTTTTCAGCTCTAAAACAAACTTTCACAAATTAATAAAAAAAAAAAAACTCCACAAAATTATAATTAGGCATTTGATGTGTCTGAGAAGCATCTGAACTCTGAATAATGAATATATTCGATGTGATATTTTTGTAAAATGTTAACTGTGTAAAACTTGTAGAAATGATGGGTCAGAATGTATTTTGTACTTGGTGTCTGTATTGTTGTTATTACTAGTGATGTCAGTGTACTCATATTAATTTATGTTTGAGAGCAGGAAGGAAAATCTTGATTTTACTTGTCAGGAAATCTGTTGTTTTGTTCTGTGCAACTTTTGTCTGGTCTTGTGTCAGAACTACGGAAGCCCTTTCCTACCAAAAGTAAATAACAAATAAAATCAGTACATGCAAAACACGTAAAAAAAAAAAAAAAAAAAAAACACATAACAACAATTAAAAGAAATCCTCCTTCAGTTATGTTAAGTTACTCTTCTGGAGATTTTGAACTTATCACAGGATCTTCATCAACATTCAAGAGCAAGAATGAACTTTATAGCTGAATGGATTAGTCATTAGTCCTTCTGGAAGTCCATAAAAGGCTTGAAAAAAGGACATTTTACAGGGTCATAAAGACATCTCAAAAATTTACATATCCACTTTTCTGAATTTAGGCCTAAAAAGTATTTTAAATGATTTTGACAGCACTTTAAAAAAAACTACAAGACAATAGTAAGTTGCATTAACTCCAGGCTCACTTTTAAATGTGTTTTTGGGATAGATTTGTTTCGATTATGCAGTATCAAAACTACAACACAAAACCAACATGAAACATGGAATACCATTAAAGAAACAAAGAGAACTCTTAAATTAGGAACTGTAGTTATAAAGATATGGGAGCTAAATTGAAAAAACATAGGAACTACACGGTGCCAGTGTGGACATGAAGTAGGTCTGCCATCTCAATGGTCCTAAAACTCTCAAAGTTCACTTCATAAAATGATGTTTAAACACCTGCAATTTCATTTTGTTAACTGATCTGCAGAGGAAGATCATGTGATCTGATCAAAAGCTCCAGAACAGATGCCAAATTAACAGTCAGTTAAAAATGAATTATATTTGAAGGAGAAGAATAATATATTTTAGTTTGAAGTTACACCTCAGAACTTTCTAAAGAAATTTCCAGTTGTATCAAAGTTTTCATCATCATAGTTAATTGTTAACCGGAATGTGCTTCCATAGTGATCGGACTCCTGACATGATGACCACTCCCTTTCAATTTCCTCTTACCCTCTGTCAGGAGCTCATTAATTAATCAATTAATTAGTTTTTCTTTGTTATCAAACACTTTGTTATGGTCCAGCCTGAGCTCTGTCTGCACTGTTTAACTCCTGTTTGTTTGTTAAGCTTAATAAAGACTGGAATAGAAACACAGTTTGTGTTTGAAAAATCACATCTGAAAAAGTGTGGAAAATCTGCCCATTGATACTACCAAATACTGGAAATGACAAGTTTCAAGTTGAAAAGGAAATCTAAAAAATGACTTCTTTTTTTTTTTTTTTTTAGCTTTAGCTGTGCATAAGTGTTTGTATGGTGGCCCCAGTGGAGTGTAGAGTATGTGTGGAATTTTTGGAGCCCTGAAGTACTAGAAGTGGCCTGTTATGGGGTTCTACATCCATCCATTATCTATNTCCCACTTCATCAGAGGGAACCAGTAACTCTCCCTGTGGTTCTCTTTCTTGCACTGTCACTGGAGAATGCTCTCCCACAGTGGACTGTCCCACTAATGAACAATCTGTGGAGTTTTCCTCTTCAGGGTCTGCGTCATAGCGTAGGCACACATGATCCTGATGCCTGCGAAACACACGTCCATCTGCCAATTTAACAACATATGAGACTGGACCAGTTTGTCTCAGAACAACCCCAGGCAGCCATGACACTGTGTAATTACTGCTGAAGTTCCTCACATAGACACGGTCACCAGGTTTCAACAGTCTCTGCCGTGCACAATGATCATGTCTGTTTTTCTGGCTTTCCTGCTTCTCCTTCACTCGTGCCTTTATGTCGGGGTGCAGCAGGTCCAACCTAGATTTAGGCCTGCGCCCCATCAGCATTTCAGCTGGGGTGCATGCAGTTGTTGTCTGTGGCGTGAGGCGGTACTTGAACAAGAAACGTGAAAGCCTCATGCTCAGAGAATCTCCTGTCATCCGCTTCAAGCCTTCTTTTACAGTCTGCACAGCCCGCTCTGCCAAACCATTCGAGGCAGGGTGAAAAGGAGCCGTCCTAATGTGATGAATTCCATTCTGTTGCATGATTTCAGTGAACAGCTCACTTGTGAACGTTGGTCCATTATCTGTGACTAGGCTGTCAGGTAACCCATGAACTGCAAACACCTGTCTGAGTTTGTCTATGGTGGAGGTGGCTGTGATGTTATTCATGATATGAGCATCTATCCATTTAGAATGGGCATCCACCATTATCATCAACATTTGTCCCAGAAAGGGACCAGCAAAGTCCAAATGCAATCTGGACCAGGGGCGGTCAGGCCACTCCCATGGGTGCAAAGGGGCTGGTGGTGGCATGTTCTGATGAGTCTGACACTGTGTACATGACTTTACTTTCTTCTCTAGATCCTCATCCATTTTTGGCCACCAGACATAGGACCTTGCTAGACTTTTCATCCTAGACATTCCTGGGTGTGTCTCATGTATTTCCTCAACAATCCGCTTACGCCCAGGAGGAGGTACGACAACTCTTGACCCCCACAAGATGCAACCATCTTGCAAACTCAGTTCTGTTTTACGTTTAGCATACGGCCGCAGCTCCTCCCCTTCCACAGCATTTGGCCAGCCTTGCAAAAGGAGTGTCTTGACTCTGGAGAGGACTGGGTCCCTGTCAGTCCAGTGTCTGATTTGAGCTGCTTTTATGGGCATGTCTGCAAGTCTCTCTAAGGAAAACACAGTCTCCGGCGGCACATATGTAGAAGACGGGGCCTCCGGCAAAGGCAATCGACTCAAAGCATCAGCATTTGCATTGTCCTTACCTGCCCTGTACAGAATGGTGTACTGATAAGCTGATAGCGTGAGAGCCCAGCGCTGTAGCCTGGCTGAAGCTAGTGGTGGGATGCACTTAACCTCACTGAACAAGCTTAGCAGTGGTTTATGATCTGTAACAATCGTAAATGGCCTGCCATAGAGGTATTGGTGAAAACGCTTTACTGCAAATACCACCGCTAGACCTTCCTTGTCTAACTGTGAGTAACCCTTCTCTGCTGTAGTTAGGGTCCTTGAAGCAAAAGCAATGGGCTTCTCAGAACTGTCCTCCATCACATGTGACAACACCGCCCCGACTCCGTAGGGGGAGGCGTCACATGACAGCGAAATGTCTTTCTCAGGGTCGAAATGAACCAGAAGTCTTTCAGAGTGGAGGAGCTCTTTAACTTCCTTAAAAGCTGTTTCTTGCTCCTGATCCCACTTCCACTTTGTGTCGTTGCGAAGCAGTTTGTACAGTGGGGCCAAAACCTTTGAGAGGTCAGGCAAAAACTTGCCGTAATAGTTGACCATCCCTAGAAAGAATGCACGCAACACGTACTCACGTTTTAT